TCCGGTGTAGGATTGCGTTGAGTACTCGAAATCTGAATCTGGTCCGCCCGGGCAGTAGCTAAACGTGAACATAAGTGCATTAGTAGCAAGTCGACCTACACGCAGACATTGCCCGTCATTGCAATGTGGGGACATCTGTGGGGTTTGCACATAACCGCAACGACAACAATCTAAGCCAGAGGGCTGAAAGGGGGAAAAGGGTCGGGACTTACGCCACTGGCTGAACGCACAGGCTTGGCCTTAAGCTTGGGGACAAGGGTCTAGCAGAAACGAGGTAAAGTTAAAAATGCTGTCTTTACATCTCTATGTTGAGGTGGCACAGCAGCAATTATGTCTACCAATCGGGGTTGTGACGTCAGGCCATACTTCCTTGAGACAGCGCATTTTAACCTGCAGAAATAACTTAGGACGTTCGAATATTCTACTTGTTTAAGTTAACATCCTTCTTTTCCTTCACGGCCTTCAACAGTTCCGAGACTATCTCTGAAATGGTCAAAACCATCAGCTCCTCCTTTTTCGTGTGGGCAACTGAGGTTATCAATAAATGTAGAAAGGAAAGTACACTTTGTTTTCTTCGGAGGCATTATTAGTATTGGGGTGTCCGGATTGTGAGACCTAAAGGGATTATAAATCACTATGAATAAAGCAAATAAAATTCTTTCGACAAGTGTTTTCCATTTCTGAAATAAAAACTGCTCTAAATGTGAAAAATAATTAGGTAACAAAAAGGGAGGACCCTTTGGACAAGACAAAAATTCAAGGCGTTGAACTGAAATCTAGAGATTTAATACTGACATGACAATTTTCAGTGTTTAACGCCCACCAACACTATTCTTCACAGTGGTTCCAAAGTACATTTACAGAATTTATGGACAGTGCGTCTTCACCTCTGTTACGGTAGGACTAAGTATGCATATAGAATATTCGTATTTTTTGGAAGGCCATGCTAGCGGTAGTGGAGTGCATAGTGAGTTTTATGCTCTTCTAAAGTTTTAAAACTTAAGCATAAAAAGAAGAGGAACTGCAGTATTCCTACATCCACCTACCATACTTTCTATTATTTTCGAATTAAGTAATATCCTGCAGAGGGTCGCTTGATCAAGCTTTTTGTTTGCTAGCTACGTTTCCTTTAATTGGTTAGATGCAGCGAACAGAAATAAAAAAATAAAAATTCGAATTATGTTGTTTAATACTGAGGACAGGATATTTAAAGTCGGCACTTATCAGGCATCGGTAAAAAACCCCTTTGTGGAAAACACCGAGTTAAATTTCACTTTAAGGTAAAGGGTTACTAATAAGCCAATCGACGCCTGCGTGAGAGTAGCCAGGACCAGATATTGTGTCGTTAGCTGTGGGAAACTTGGCGCGAAAGCAGCGCCTAACTTATGGCATTCAGGTTGATCTGAATGTCATGTGCAATCAAGGCAGGTATTCGAAAGTGAGCAGTACGTATGGGTAACTATTTCATCCAGCAAACAGTAAGCTGATAATACACTGTGGGAATATCAAAGTCAGGCAAGCCGAAAAAACGCAGACGCTTCAAAAAATTAAAAAAATAATTAACTCTTCTTAAGGGCTCCTTAGTGAAGCCAACTAATAATAGCTACTGAACCCTACTTGCTTCACTTTTCGAACACCAGCAAATATTCTGAATTCGTTTTCTAAACTTCGTATCGAGCAGGCCACTAAACAGACTCTAACCGGCGGTTTTGTTTGCTTTCCTTAGCCCGACAACCCTGTAGGTCTGCGGTTCAGTGCAGCTAGACACGAAAGCAATATTCAGATCACCACCTCGGCTGCTTGCGGAAGAAGAGTTCAGTTCAAAAGCTTCGTGGTGACATGAAAGTTCACAATGGTATTATTTTCTCCAAATATTTTCTTATTCAAGAGATAGCCGCCGAAGGACTTGACAAGTCTGTACAAAACAATCGAAGCGACCAAGAAGCATTTTTCTCAACATAATGGCC